GCAGGTGCAACGCCCCGTGCTCGAAATGCCTACATCACGTCAATAGAGGTCACCGCGGACTAGATCTGTGTTCTCGTGGAGCTGACGGTAGAGGGTCAGGAAGTCATCTGGGCAAGGGGGATGGGGACAGGTCATTCTGGGAAGGAGATGGGGACAGTCATCTGGGAAGGGGGATGGGACAGTGCATCTGGAAGGGTGATGGGACAGTCATTCGGGAAGGAGGAGGGACAGTTCATCTGGAAAGAGTGAATGGAGACAGGTCATCTGGGAAGGGGATGGACAGGTCATCTGGGGAGGAGGTATGGGGACAGGTGCAGTCTGGGGAGAGGTGAACAGGTCATCTGAGAAGCAGAGGCGACAGGTCATCTGGGGGAGGAGAAATGGGGGACAGGCATCTGGGAAGGGTGATGGGGGACAGGGTCATCTAGGAAAGGGGGCATGGAGACAGTCATACTGGGAAGAGAGATGAGAGACAGGTCCATCTGGGAAGGGGATGGGCGACAGGTCATCTGGGGAGGAGGATGGAGCAGGTCATCTGGAGGAGGATGGACAGGTCATCTGGGGAGGGGAGGATGGGGACAGGTATCTGAAAGGAGGATGGGGACAGGTCATCGGGGAGGAGAATGGACAGTCATCTGGAAGGGGATGGGGACAGGTTCATTACTGGGAGAAATGGACAGGTCATCTGGAAGGATGGACAGTCATCTGGAAGCGGGATGGGACAGTCATCTGGGAAGGAGGATGGAGGACAGGTCATCTGGGAAGGGGGATGGGACAGGCTCATCTGGATAGGATGGGACAGCGTCATCTGGGGAGAGGATGGGCGAACAGTTCATCTGGCGAGGAATGGGACAGTTCATCTGGAGAGGAGGATGGGACCAGCGTCATCTGGGGAGGGAGAATGGGACAGGCTATCTGGAAAGGGATGGACAGGTCATCGGGAAGAGGATATGGGACGAGTCATCTGGAAGGCAGGGAGGACGACAAGGTCATCTGGGAAAGGGGGATGGACAAGGTCATCTGGGGAGAGAGGACAGTCATCGTCGGTAGGAGGATGGACAGGGTCATCTGGGGGGAGGAGGAGGGACACTCATCTGGGAAGGAGGAGGACAGGTCATCTGGGTAAGAGGATGGGACAGGTCTATCTGGAAGAGGATGGGAACAGGCAATCTGGAATGAGATGGGGGACCCAGGGGTTTTTTGTTTTCCTTTTTTTCTGGGGGGGGGGGAAAGGGGAGATGGGGACACGCTTCATCTCGAAGAGTATGGGACAGGTCACATTCTGGAAAGGGGATGGACAGGTCATCTGGGAAGTAGAGTGTCTCGTGAGTAGCATGCTGGAAAGGCGGGATGGACAGTCATCTGAAGGGATGCGGACAGTCATCTGGAAGGGGAAATGGGGACAGGTCATAACTGGCAAGAGGATGGAAGACAGATCATCTGGAAGGGGGATGGGACAGGTCATTCTGGAGGAGGATGGGACAGTCATCTGGGAGAGATGGGGACAGCTCATCTGGGAAGGAGATGGGGACAGGTCTCTGGGAAGGAGGATGGGAACATCATTGCGAAGGGGAATGGGACAGTCAAGGTGGTCTGGGAGGGGAGGATAAGGACAGCATCTGAGCGGAGGAGGATCGGGACAGGTCAGCTGGGAGGAGGATGGGACAGGTTCATCTGGGAGGAGGATGGAAGTCATCTGGGGGACAGGTCATCTGGGGAGGAGATGGGGACAGGTCATCTGGGAGAGGATGGAAAACAGTCATTGAAAGGAGGATGGGGACAGGTCATCTGGAGGAGGATGGACAGGTCATCTGGAGGAGGGATGGGACAGGTCATTTGGGAAGGAGATGGGGAACAGGTCATTTGGGAAGGAGGATGGGACAGGTCATTTGGGAAGGAGTATGGACAGTCATTTGGAAGAGATGGGAACAGGTCATGGAAGGGACAGTCATTGGTCATGGGACAGGTCATTTGGAAGGCAGGATGGGGACAGGTCATTGGGAAGGGAGATGGACGGAACAGGTCATTTGGAAGGAGGGATGGGACAGCTCATTTGGAAGGAGATGGACAGTCATTTGAGAGAGGAGGACAGTCATTTGAAGGAGGATGGGACACTCAATTTGGGTAAGGAGGATGGGACAGGTCATTTGGAAGGAGATGGGACAGTTCCATTTGGGTAAGAGATGGACAGTCATTTTGAAGAGATGGAGCATATTTGGAAGCCGAGGAGGGACAGTCATCGAGAGGAGGGAGGGGACAGACATTGTAGAGGATGGGACACGGTCACCTTTGGAAGGAGATGGGACAGGTCATTTGGAAGGAGGATGGGACAGGCATTTGGGAAGGAGGATGGGGACAGGTCATCTGGGAGCGAGGATGCGGACAGGTCATCTGGGAAGGAGGATGGGACAGTCATCTGGGGAGAGGATGGAACAGGTCTCTGGGAGGAGGAGGACGGTCATTTGGAAGGAGGATGGGACAGTCATTTGGGGAGGAGGATGGGGACAGGTCATCTGGGGAGGAGGATGGGGACAGGTCATCTGGGGAGGAGGATGGGGACATCATTTGGGAAGAGAGTGGACAGGTAATCTGGGGGAAAGATGGACAGTCACTGGGAGGAGGTGGACAGGTCATCTGGGAGGAGGGATGGGACAGGTCATCTGGGAAGAGCAGGGACAGGTCATTTGGGAAGGAGGATGGGGACAGGTCATCTGGGAAGAAGGAAGCTTTTTGGAAAGGATAGGTCTATGTTCTTGTGCTGTGTTCTGTCTGTATGTCTATCTCTGTCTGTTTTATTATTTCTCTTCACTCCCTCTTTTCCTCTCCTCCATCCCCCTTATATCCTCTCCTTGTGCCCTCCCTCTCATCCTCTCCCATCCCCCTTCAAACCTCCCTGTCGATCTCCCTACCTCTCTCTCCCCTCCCTGCTCCCTTTCCGCCTTTCCTCCTTATTCCTCCTTTCCTTTCCTTCTCTCCTTCTCCCCCCCTCATTTCCCCTCTCTCCCCTCCCCTTTCCAAAATTATCATCATTATTATTGCTGTTTTTATCATTATCATCATTATTTGATTTTTATTTTTTCATTTCATTTTTGAGTCATCATTTTATCAATATGTTATGATCATTATCATTGCTATTATTATTTCATTATTAATATCATGACCTTTCAATTATCACTACTTTCGTGTCTCTATATTGATATGATTATTTATTACAATTTCTTTGCTTTATTTCATCACTATCACCATTATCATCACATTTTACTGTTATCGTCATTTATTTCTTCTCCTTCCCCTCATTCTTATTTTAATCATTATTATATTTTTGTTGCTCTTTTTGCAGTTATTGTTGTTTATTACTTTCTTGCTATACTCTTTATTACTACTTTTTTATTTATTTTACTTTATTGATATGGTTTAAAAAGTATTTTGTTATTATTTCAATGCTATGAAGTTATCATTATTATTATTATTAGTTTTGTTTTATTATGACGTATTGTTTTATATATTATATATTATTTTATTGTTTTTACCGTTATGATTATAATAAATATTATCGTTATTATTATTAACAGTAAGAAAACACTGATAATGACTACAATGTTGATGATGATAACATTAATGATGATAAAGATAGCGATGCAAATGATGATGATAATGAAAGCTTAGTCACTGTTATCTGCCGCCGATGCTTGTGCGTGTAGCTAACGAAAGCAATGTGTTTTGCCAGTTTTTTCTTTTTTCGAGAAGAGCTAACTGCATTTTGAGGAACGTCCGAGCGAGCGAAATTTCGAAAGTCTGAAAGAATTCGAAAACTATGAAAGTTAGTTGATTAATATATTGCTTATTCGTCCGTGCATTTCCATAGACTACATACTCACACGCATGCAAGGGCAACAAGCACCCCCACATGCAAGCGAGCAACATGGATGCACACTTACAAGCACGGGAGCACGCGCTAAAATTAGAACCTTTTTATTCCCAGAATCGAATCCGACAAACTCTCCAACTACTAACTTACATTTCAAAGTCTGATTACATTTCTATATTTAGTGTACATGTGATAGAGAGAGAGAGAGGATAAAGAGAGAAAGAAAGAAAGAGAGGAGGAGAGGGACAGGAGGCGGCGGTGAGGTCGTTATGTAACTCGGAGTGTGGGTGTATATAACATCCACGGCATATTTATTGCATGATGTACCATGCCCCGAGTATACGACAGGGACTGAACATCTAATATGTATCATGCACGGCGCTTGAAACATGCTCTGTGCAAATGCTATAATACACCGAATAAAATCGTACCATGCTCACATAACAACCCCTTTTACACCATCTGTCAAATGTACACCGGCGATGTACCGTACATGTAACCTCTGTACGTAACATGTCCTGGTTTTCAGTGACCGCGGATTGGGAAATCGTGAGAAACTAATCTCGGATACTCGCTCAAGGACACGCGAGGCGCTGGCAGACGGGAAGATCGTGGATTGGTGAGCGATTCGGAACCAGTGGCATCATATGGCTTTGATCTGGGCTGTGGGGGGGGGGGCAGGGAAAGGGAGAGGAGAGGGGATGGGAGAGGGGAGATACAGATAAGATTGTTTGGTGTCGTCTCTTGTGGATGCAATTCCCCCCCCCCCCCCCCCCACCTCCACCCCTCACTCCTTCGTTGTGGATTTGGGTTGTTTTATCATTATTATTTTTTTTCTTTTTATAATCGGCCAGAAATTACGTCGGATAAGAATCATTATCGTCCGGCGCGGTTACGTGGGTCACTTTGTTCGCCTATCGCCTCCAAATTTCCCAGGTTTCTCATCACAGGCGCCATTGACACCTGGCCAGCTCCCAGCCGCGAGGTGGAAAGCCGTCGATTTGCCCCGCGCGTCACTCCGTCTCGCTCGCTCCTCTCTTCCTCTTCTCTCTCTCTCTTTCTTCTTTCTCTCTCTCTTCTCTTCTCTTTCTCTCTCTTCTCATTCTTCTTTCTCTCTCTCTTCTCATTCTTCTTTCTCTCTCTCTTCTCTTTCTTCTTTCTCTCTCTCTCTCTCTTCTCTTTCTTCTCTCTCTCTCTCTCTCTTCTCTTTCTTCTTTCTCTCTCTCTCTTCTACTTCTCTCTCTCTCTCTCTCTTTCTTCTTTCTCTCTCTCTCTCTCTCTTCTTCCTCTTCTCTCTTCTCTCTTCTTTCTCTCTCTCTCTTCTCTTTCTTCTTTCTCTCCTCTCTTCTCTCTCTTCTCTCTCTCTTCTCTTTCTTCTTTCTCTCTCTCTTCTCTTTCTTCTTTCTCTCTCTCTTCTCTTTCTTCTTTCTCTCTCTCTTCTCTCTCTCTTCTTCTTTCTTCTCTCTCTTCTCTTTCTCTTTCTCTCTCTTCTTCTCTTCTTCTTTCTCTCTCTTCTCTTTCTTCTTTCTCTCTCTCTTCTCTTTTTCTTCTCTCTTTCTCTATCTCTTCTCTTCTTCTCTCTCTCTCTTCTCTTCTTTCTCTCTCTCTTCTCTTTCTTCTTTCTCTCTCTCTCTCTCTTCTTCTCTTTCTCTCTCTCTCTCTCTTTCTTCTTCTCTTCTCTCTTCTCTTTCTCTCTCTCTCTCTCTCTCTTTCTTCTTCTCTCTCTCTCTCTCTCTCTTTCTTCTTTTCTCTCTCTCTCTTCTCTTCTTCTTCTCTCTCTCTTCTCTTCTCTTCTCTCTTCTCTCTTCTCTTCTCTTTCTTCTTTCTCTTCTTCTTTCTCTTTCTTCTCTTCTCTCTCTCTTCTCTTTCTTCTTTCTCTCTCTTCTTCTCTCTCTCTCTCTCTTCTTTCTTTGACTCTTTCTCTTTCTTTCTCTCTCTCTTCTCTTTTCTTTCTCTCTCTCTCTCTCTCTCTTTCTTCTTTCTCTCTCTCTTCTCTGTCTTCTTTCTCTCTCTCTTCTCTGTCTTCTTTCTCTCTCTCTTCTCTGTCTTCTTTCTCTCTCTCTTCTCTGTCTTCTTTTCCTTTCGTCCTCTTCTCTCCTTCTGCCTTTTCTCTGTTTCTTCTTTATCTCTCTCTCTCTCTCTCGTCTCTCTCTCTCTCTCTCTCTCTCCTCTCTCTCCTCTCTCTCTCTCCTCTCTCCCCTCTCTCTCCTCTCTCTCTCTCTTCTCCCCTCTCCCTCTCCCTCTCCCCTCCCTTCCCCCTCTCCCCTCCCCCTCCCCCTCTCCCCTTCCACTCCAACCTCCCTCCCATCCCTACCGGTAATGATGTGCTTGGCCAACAAAAGCACACTGACCACTGACTGGAGAATTATCGAACAGAGCAACAGGGGGCCATTGGGAAGAGCAGGGGGAGGAGAAGAGGCATGGAGGGTGGGGAGGGGAGTGGAGAGGTAAGAACGTAATCAAATTAAAGAAGGAAGAAAAGGGAGGGAAAGGAGAAGGGAGGATGGACGAGAGGTGGAGGAAGGAAAGAATGAAAAGAGGGTGAAGAAGGGAGGGGAGGTAGAGGAAGGGAGGAGGGTGAGAAGGAGGAAGAAGGACGGAAAGGAAGGACCAGAAGGGAAGGGAATGGAGGAAGGAAAAGAAGGAAGGAGTGCTAGTAAGCGAGAGATGGGGGAGCGAAGTAAATAATTGGAAGGAAATAAAAAGAGTGGGAAGCAAGGCACAGGTAGGTTAAAAAATAAAGTTTAGACAGTCGCTGTTTTAAAGTTAGAGACCGCTATTATTATCTTCGTCTCTTTTAAACCTCTCAAAGCAAGGGAGATATAACTTCCATCGGGCAGATCATTATCCACGCCAGAGCAGACGGTGAGCAGCGAAATGTCAGGGCGCCAGCAGAATCTATGAATATTAGATGGTGGGAGTGGACACGGAGAGAGCGGAGCGAGGAAAGAGTGATAAAATATGATAAAGCGACAGAGGAGAGAAGAGATTTGCCGCTTCGCATTCCGCTATCGATTCTTTGGTAATAATTTTTTAGGCCTGGGATGAGTCGGATCATGTGATGTCTTGGCTCACTGGAGATGGAGCGAGACGGTTTTTTTTCTCATCCTTCTCTTCCTATTCTTTTTCTCTCCTTTCTACTTCTCACCCCCTTTTTCTTTACTCTTTCTTTTTCTATCTTATTTTTTCTCTCCTGTTTTTCTCCCCTCCTTTTGTTTCCCCTTTCTTTTCTCTCCCCTTTCTTTTTCTCTCCTCCTTTC